TTTCATCTAGCAAAAGTAAAATTCTCTGCCCTTTAAGCAATAACTCTGTATAACCCAGCCCCTGACGATCACCATTCTGCTTTCTGTCTCTATGAATTTGACTAGGTACCTCATATAAGTGGAATCAGAATATTTTATCCTTTTGCGACTGGCTTATTCCACTTAGCCTTATGGCCTCAAAGATCACACATGTTCTATGTAGCGTGTGTCAGAATTTCCTTCCTTTTTAAGACTGAATAAACTGGGCATGGCAGCGTGTGCCTGTAGTCACAGCTACTCAGGAGTGGGGTGGGGGAGGGCAGCTGAGGTAGGAGGATCCCTTGCATCCAGGAGTTCAAGGCTGCAGTGAGCTATGATCGCACCATTGCACTCCAGCTTGGGCAGCAGAGTGAGACCCTCTCTAACCACACAGACAGACAGATAGTAGATAGATAGATAGTAGACAGATAAGTCAGATAGATAGATAGATAGATAGACAAATAGATAGATAGAGTGAGACTGGATGGATGGATGGATGGATGGATAGATAGGTAGATAGATAGGCCGGCAAGAATATTCCATTGTACGTATGTACCGCATTTTTATTTGGTTTGTGGTATATACATACATTTTATTTGTTTATTCATTCATCTATCAGTGGACACTTGAGTTGCTTCTACCTTTGAGAATAATGTGGCTATGAACATTGGTTTACAAATATCTGTTCAAGTCTGTGCTTTCAGTTCATTTGGGTATATACCTAAAATGGCATTGCTGAATTATGTGGTAATTCTGTATTTAATTTATTGAAGAAACACCTCACTGTTTTTCCGTAGCAGCTGTACCATTTTACATTTCTACTAGCCATGTATAAAGGTTCCAGTTTTTCCACATCCTTGTCAATACTTGTTTTTTTCTGATTTTTTTTTAGATGTAATAGTATCCTAATGGGTATGAAATGGTATCTCATTGTGCTTTTGAATTGCATTTCCCTAATGATTAGTGATATTGATCATATTTTCATGTGCTTATTGGCTGTTTATATATCTTCTTTGGAAAGATATCTTTTCAGATATTTTGTCCATTTTTAGTTGGGTTACTTGTTTGTTGTTGTTCAGTTTTAGGCATTCTTTATAGATTCTGGATATTAGTCCCTTTTAAGTTCCATGATTTGCAAATACCTTATACCATTCTGTGGGTTGCCTTTTCACTCTATTGTCCTTTGATGCCTACATATTTTTTATTTTGATAAGGTTCAATTTATTGGTTTTTTTCTTTTATTGCCTGTGCTTTTGGTATCATATTTTAAAAATTGTTGCCAAATCCAGTGTCATAAAGTTTTTTCTGTATGTTTTCTTTTAAAGTTTTATAGTTTTAGTTCTTCTCTTTAGGTCTTTGATCCATTTAGTTTTTTCTGTGTATGGTATAAGATAAGATTTCAACTTCATTCTTTTACATGTGGGCATCCAATTTTTCCAGCAACATTTGTTGAAAAACTGTCCTTTGTTCCACTGAATGGTCTTGGCATGCTTGTTGAAAATCATTTAGTCATGTATGTATGTGAAGGTTTATTTCTGGGCTTTCTAGTCTCGAACTCATTTTTTGAAAAACGTTTAAGTGCAAGGGTACATGTGCAGGTTTGTTATATAGATAAACTTGTGTCAAGGAGGTGGGTTTATTGTACAAATTGTTTCATTACCCAGGTACTAAGCCTTGTACCCAATAGTTATTTTTTCTAATCCTCTCCCTCCTCCCACCATCTGCCTTCATTCAAGTAGGCCCCAGTGTCTGTTGTTGCTTCTTTGTGTCCATGAGCACTCATCATTTAGCTCCCACTTATTAGTGAGAACATATAGTATTTGGTTTTCTGTTCCTGCATTATTTACTAAGGATAATGGCCTCCAGCTCTATCCATGTTCCTGCAGAAGATCATTATTTTTGTGGCTGCATAGTATTTCATGGTGTATATGTGCCACATTTTCTTTATTCAGCTTGTCATTGATGGGTATTTAGACATTGATTCCATGTCTTTGCTATTGGTATTATAAATAGTGTTGTAATGAACATACACATGCATCTTTTTTTTTTTTTTTTTTTTTTGGAGACAGTCTCACTCTGTTAGGCTGGAGTGCACTGGCACAATTTTGACTCACTGCAGCTTCCACTTCCCAGGTTCAAGCAATTCTCGTGCCTCAGCCTCCTAAATAGCTGGGATTACAGTCACACACTACCACGCCTGGCTAATTTTTGTATTTTTAGTAGAGACATGGTTTCACCGTGTTGCCAGGCTGGTCTTGAACTACTGACCTGAAGTAATCCACCCACCTCAGCCTTCTAAAGTGCTGGGATTATAGGCGTGAGCCACCACTCCCGGTCCATGTGTCTTTGGACAGATGATTTTTGACTTTGTAAATAATAGTCATTCTCAGCCATGCATGATGGCTCACTCCTGTAATCACTGCATTTCAGGAGGCCAGGGCAGAAGGATCACCTGAGCCGAGGAATTAAAGACTAGCCTAAGCAACATGGTGAAACCCCATCTCTACCAAAAAAGAAAAAAATTAGCCAGGCATGGTGGTGCATATAGTCCCATCTATTTGGGAGGCTGAGGAAGGAAGATTACTTGAGTCCAGGAGGTTGACACTGCAGTGAACCGTGATTATGTTACTGCACTCCAGCCTGGGTAACAAAGGAAGACCCTATCTCAAAAAAAAAAAAAAAAAGCCACTCCGACTGGTATGAGATGGTATCTCATTGTGGTTTTGATTTGCATTTCTCTAATGATATTGAGCGTTTTTTCACATACTTGGCAAACTTTATTTTTTATGAGTGTTACTAATCTATAATATGGATACATCAGAGTGCATTCAAACATTCTTCTGTTGATGGACATATAGATTGTGTCCAGGCTTTTGTTACTACAGGCAGTGTTGCAGTAAACATCTTAAAATATGTAGTCTTATACCTTGGTGCTTTTATTTTCCCATGATGTATTCATAAAAGTAGAATTGCTAGATCAAGTGGTATGTTTAGTTTTTAATTTCAGTAGACAGGTTATTTTTTCAAAAGGATATATGAATTCATATTTCTATCAGCCATAAATAATCCTGTTCTCCACCTCCTTGGTAGTACTTAGCAACCTTTTTTTTTTTGACAGAGTCACACTCTGTCACCCCAGCTAGAGTGCAGTAGAGCAATCTTAGCTCACTGTAGCCTCCACCTTCTGGATTCAAGCAATTCCCCTGCCTCAGCCTTTCAAGTAGCTGGGACTCCAGGCATGTACCACCATGCCTGGCTACATGTTTTTCTTTCTATTTTTAGTAGAGATGGGGTTTCGCCATGTTGACCAGGCCAGGCCTGAAACTTTTTTAATGTTTACTAACATGATCAGTTAAAATTTGGAGGCCTTTGTCAGTCAGTACTTAACAGTGAAAAGTAAAAGGATACTGATAAATATTGCTTAGGTATTTGACAGAAACTTCCCTGTTGATTTAAGAAAAAAAATCTCTGTCGCCGGGCACAGTGGCTCATACGTGTAATCCCAGCACGTTGGGAGGCCGAAGTGGGCGGATCACAAGGTCAGGAGATCAAGACCATCCTGGCCAACATGGTGAAACCCCATCTCTACTTAAAATACAGAAATTGGCTTGGTTTGGTAGCGTGTGCCTGTAATCCCAGCTACTCAGGAGGCTGAGGCACAGGAGAATCACTTGAACGCAGGAGGTGGAGGTTGCAATGAGCCAAGATCGGGCCACTGCACTCCAGCCTGGCGACAGAGCTAGACTGGGTCTTAAAAAAAAAAAGAAGGCTGGGCGCTGGCTCACGCCTATAATCCTAGCACTTTGGGAGGCCGAGGCGGGTGGATCACGAGGTCAAGAGATCGAGACCATCCTGGTCAACGAGGTAAAACCCCATCTCTACTAAAAATACAAAAATTAGCTGGGCATGGTGGTGCATGCCTGTAGTCCCAGCTACTCGGGAGGCTGAGGCAGGAGAATTGCTTGAACCCAGAAGGCGGAGGTTGCAGTGAGCCGAGATCATGCCATTGCATTCCAGTGTGGGTAACAACAGCAAAACTCCATCTCAAAAAAAAAAAAAAGAAAAGAAAAAAAATATACTAGGCCTGGTGCAGTGGCTTACGCCTGTAATCCCAGCATGTTGGGAGGCCACAGCGGGTGGATCACTTGAGGCCAGGAGTTCAAGACCAGCTGGGCCAACATGGTGAAACTCCATCTCTACTAAAAATACAAAAAAATTAGCTAGGTGTAGTGATGGGCACCTGTAATCCCAGCTACTCGGCAGGCTGAGGCACTAGAATCAGTTGAACCTGGGAGGCAGAGGTTGCCCCAGCCTGGATGACAGAGCAAGACTTTGTCTCAAAAAAACAAAAAAAACTCTGTTCTCTCATAAAATGAAAAATGTAAGTGCAAAAGATAGTCATTTTTATGTAGAGTTAAAGGCAAATTAACATTTTGAAACAATCAGATTTTGAGTGTTTTTCCTGCTTTCAGCCATTTTCTTGAAGTAAGGAAACTAGCCATTGGTTTCTAATTTTTCTTAGCTTAATGCAGATACTGAAAGAGAAGAAGGAGAAGAGTTTGAAGATAACATGGATGTCTTCGATGATAGCAATTCCAGCCCTTCTGGCACGTTAAGAAATTATCCACTCACCTGCAAAGTTGTTTATTCCTACAAGGTTTGTATTTCTCCAACATATTGTTATTAAATTCTGATTAACTGTGAGGATACACATGACTATCCATCCAGTCTCTCAAGCTGTACTTAGCACAAAATTGTTATTAGGTTAACATTGTTATTAGGTTAACAATATAACAGAATGGTGATGAGTTTAGCCTCTGACTTGGCGTGTTTCACTTGCTACTCCCTCTCTGCCTAGAACTCTTTTTTACCCTCAAATCTCTGTTGGTTGCCCCTTGCTCCTCATTGAAGCTCAGCTCAAACAGTGCCTCCTAAAATCACCCATAACCACCTAAATAAATAACCAGCTCCTCAGTCACGTCTCGTTATCCCATTGCCTCTTTTATTTATTATATAGCACTTCTGCCCAGCCAAACTTACTCTTGTTTATTTTCATATTTCTTTGACATTCCACGAAAGGTCCATGAAGGCAAAAATTTTGTCTGTGTATGTGTACCTTGTCTCCAGGTCTTCAGCCCCAAGGATGATGGCCAGCTGTAGTGGGTCATCAGTAAATAATTGTGGGATGAATACATGAATATTGGAAGAGACTCGTGAATGCATGAATCTTCTCTTGCCCTGGATGATGGCCAGCTGTAGTGGGTCATCAGTAAATAATTGTGGGATGAATACATGAATATTGGAAGAGAGGCGTGAATGCATGAATCTTCTCTTGCCCCTGTTCTAGTGGAGGCATGCATGAGAAGGGGCAATGCGGAAGGCTATCAGAAAGGGAAGGTCTGGAGAGAATCCACCTGTCATGCACTGGACAGATTCACTCCTACTGCCACATCCCCATGTAGCCAAAAGGTGGCAGTATTCACTCCTCAATATCAGTGATTCCCAGATTTGTTTTGAATTTAACATCCTTTCATTTTATATTTAAATTCATAATACTTCCTGTTCATTGAAAGTGTTAGCATTTTTTTCCCAATGTAAATTGTTTTGATAATCTTTTGAAAATTTAAAATCATCTCAGATACTTGGAAAGGTATTACAGAATATAATAAAACTCGCATTGGAATTGTTTCCTGATACCACCTCCCATTATTATATTTACCTGAATATCCCAGAACTAAAATTTAAGGTCCTTAAATAGAGAGATTCCTAAGTGTCCAAGTGATTTTAAACTGTTGACATTCATTCAACATTCTCTCTGTTGGCATATCCCAGGCACTTCCCTGCATTAGACTATGAACATCTATTTAGTCAGTTAATCATTGAATAAACATATAGAGTGCCCAATATGTTATATATTTGGGGGATACCAGAATGAATGTGACTTTATCTCTCCCCTCTAGGAATGGACAGTCTAGGAAGGGATAAATATTAAACTGGAAAAACAGAACAAGTGTGAAAAGATTTATAGTAAAGGTAGAGCCACTAACTCTACCTGTGATCATTGGGAGAGATTTTATGAGATGGCATCTAAATTGGGTTATGAGATTTAAGACCTTTCTAGATGCAGTGAGAAGGTAGGGAAAGAGCCTTCCAAGCAAAGAGAACGGCAGGTATAGAGACAGAATGTGATGAGAGTGTGGGGTGTTCAGGAATTGTTAAATTCGGTGGAGCATCCTCGGGAGAACAGAAGAGCTGTGCGTAAAGGTGTTTGTTATCAGATAGTAAAGGGCCTCATGTACCAGACTTAGAGGTTTGGTTTTTATCTTGGCTGGGAAGATCCTTAGATGGCCTGAAATCAGATTGGACTTGTAAGAAGGCAACCTGGTCATGGAATAGATATTCTAGAGGATAGATTAGAATAGAGAAGGACTGACTTTAATCATAATTCATATAGTCCAGATCAAAAAGGAGGCCTCGAATAATCTGGTGAGAACAAAGAAAGCTATATTTAATGGATAGGTTGGCCAGGCACAGTGGCTTACACTTGTAATCCCAGCACTTTGGGAGACCAAGGCAGGTAGATCACTGAGGTTAGGAGTTTGGGACTGGCCTGACCAACACAGTGAAACCCTGTCTCTACTAAAAATACAAAAACTAGGTGGGTCTGGTGGTTTGCACCTGTAATCTCAGCTACTAGGGAGGCTGAGACAGGAGAATCGCTTGAACCCGAGAGGTTGCAGCTAGCCAAGATCGCACCATCGCACTCCAGCCTGGGTGACAGAGCAAGACTCTATCTCAAAAAAAAAGGTTAGAGTCAGAAGCCTTAAGAATGTTATTAACTTTTGACCCTATTAGCATCCATCCTAAGGAAATAAATCATAATATAGAAAAATATTTTGGATACAAAAATGTCCTTTCATATAGTACTGCTTTATAATATATGGCACTTCTGCCCAGCCAAACTTAATCTTAGTTTTCATATTTCTTTGTCTGACTCTCCACTAAAGGTCCATGAAGGGAGAAATTTTGTCTCTGTATGTTTACCTTGTCTGTGTGTCTTCAGCCCCTAAGACGATGCCGAGCACGTAGTAGGTCATCAGTAAATAATTGTGGAATGAATACTTGAATGATAGAAAGAAGGCATGAACGAATGAATCTTTCCCTTGCCTTCATTCTGATAGAGACATCAATGAGGATAATAGAGCTCATGACTGGGTGTGGTGGCTCATGCCTGTAATCTCAACATTTTGGGAGGCCAAAGTAGGAAGATCACTTGAAGCCAGGAGTTTAAGACCAGCCTGGGCAACAAAGCAAAACCTGGTCTCTACAAAAAAAATTTTTTAAGTAGCTGGGCATGGTGGCACATGCCTATAGTCCTAGCTGTTCAGGAGGCTGAGGCAGGAGGATCACTGGCGCCCAGATCGAGACTGCAGTGAGCCATGATTACACCATTGCACTCCAGCCTGGGTGACAGAGTGAGACCTTGCCTCTAAAAAATAAATTAAAAAAGATTAAATTTGGCAGTCCAATGAGAATAATTAAACTAGACATTCATATACTCTAGCCATAACATATAATATTATGAAGATTATTGAAATTTATATTAGAGTGTTTCCACCAGGCTGGGTGGATCACCTGAGGTCAGGAGTTTGAGAACAGCCTGACTAACATTGAGAAACCCTGTCTCTACTAAAAATACAAAAATTACCTGGGTGTAGTGGCACATGCCTGTAATCCCAGCTATTCGAGAGGCTGAGGCAGGAGAATCGCTTGAACCTGGGAGGCAGAGGTTGTGGTGACTGGAGATCACGCCATTGCACTCCAGCCTGGGCAACAAAAGTGAAACTCTGTCTCAAAAAAAAAAAAAGAAAGAGTTTTTCTATATAAGAAGAAACCCTTATGTCCTAATACCAAATTAAAAGGTAGGATACCAAATTGTATGTACAATGATATCTCAATTATGCATATTTTCCAGCCTTTCTACAATGAACGTGTATGATATAATCAGGAAAAGCATATTGTTTTAAAAGAAATACAGGAAATTTGGAGAGAGATTGTCAACTCTGGTTGTCACTGGATACTAGGACTTGAGACAGTATAAGAGCATGTGTGTATTTAATAACAATTTACTGCTCACTTACTGTCTTTAGTTGGGGTAAGTGAGAAGAAGTATGTCCCTATCTAATTAAGTGTTTCTACTAGGAAGCTCACATGGACAAGCTCACTAGAGCATCATGGTAGTCAGTGTTACTGGTACGCTCAGAGCCTTTTAAGAACAAGAGGAGGAGCAACTTACTCATCATGGGTAGTCTGGGAAAACATACACTCGGTCTCAAATCAAAATTAATCGTAACTACTATTTATTTATTTATTTGTAATCTCTTCAATAACCCTATGAGGAAGATACTATCAAACACCCCATTCATTCAACAAATAGTGCTTGAGCACCTCCCATGTATCAGTGTTGTGGGCTTTTCTAGGCTCTGGGATGTAGCACTGATCAAAAGAGACAAAAATCTCTGCCCTCATAGAGCTTATATTCTAGTAGGAAAAAAGAAAACTGAGGTTCAAAAACATCTTAGGTCACTTGCCCATAAAAACATACTGAAGCTGGACTTAAACCCACAGTAATCTAAGTCCATTCATCAGTTAGGAAAGAGGGAACGGAGCCTGCTGGACAGAACACCTAAAAGCATGGAGGCAAAGAAGAACATGGTATGCTCAGAGAACAGGAGTGTGTGCAGGGGCCAAAGCGTCAGGAGGCCCACAGAGACCAAACTCTGCAGGGTCTTGATTGCCATGCAACGGACTTGACCTTGTAAGGTGAAAGAATTGATTATCACTGCATTAGGATGGGATGATCAAGCTAGTATCTGCTTACATTGGACAACTAGCACTGCAGTGTTGAAAAACATGCATGGATCTCCATGCCTTTTTTTTTTTTTTTGGAGACAGGGTCTCACTCCATTGCCCAAGCTGGAGTACATTGGCATGATCTTGGTTCACTCCAACCTCTGCCTCCCTGTTCAAGTGATCTTCCCACCTCAGCCTCAGCCTAGAAGCTGGGATTACAGGCACACACCACCACACCAGCTAATTTTTTGCATTTTTCATAGAGACAGGGTTTCTCTATGTTGCCCAGGCTAGTCTCGAACTCCTGGCATCAAGTGATCCACCCACCTCACCCTCCCAAATGCTTGGATTACAGGCATGAGCCACCTCATGCAGCCTCTCCATAGCTTTTTATAAGGGCAGCAGTATATTTAAAAGTATATTACCTCCCCTGGTTTGCTGTCACACACATTAATGTCTGGTTGTGTTGATACTTTTTAGGTCTTGCCATGGAAAACATTTTTATTACAAAAGTGCCTTTTGCTGTCATATTCAAGGCATAGTATGGTTTCAGAGTAGTGAAGCAATTCCACTGGAAAAGCTATCAAGAGTAAAGGAGAGGGCTTTTTCCTCATATTTTGAGATAAGAAATAATTTAAAATCTGGCCTTGGTGTATTCTGTGACTGGTTAGCCATCCTCAATATTATTTTTCTGTCTCAGGGAGCTAATGATGACATTCAGAATCTGGGTTTTGATGAAATACTTTAATGTTCATGAAATGAAAAGTGAATCGTGAAAATGACCCCTTTTTTTGCCTTATTTTGTTTGTGTAACTTAGAGTTAATTTTACACTTTGAGATTGTGAGATTTGAAAAGCTTTATGGTCTTAGATGATGGTTTTAACTGATCTTGGGTCTTGGGGAAAGCTTTTAATACTGTTTTCTAGAGAGCCAGAAGCCAGCAGCCCCTGCCTATCACACATGACAGGGAAGGCTCTTAGGAAGCAAAGCCACATGGATTTCCAGCCCCTCTGTGGAGCTTCAGTTTTCTCACAGATTTGGCATCTCAAGGGCAACATGTGGGTGGCTGATGCTGGTGGACTGCTGCTGTCAGGGATAATGAAACCATTACAGTTAGCAGCTTGTGCAGTAGAACGCAAGTAGATCAGCCCAGTCTCCACAGTTAAGTTGGAGCATAAAAAATCCAAACCATGACTGATCTCAATCATTTCCTTTCCTACAATTTTCTTCTTTTGACCACTGCTTTATAGTGATTCCAGATCAATTCTAGGCACTGCACCCACAATCATCAAATTCATGTACATAGTTCTTTGCATTTTCACTGCATGCTTGTCCATGGCAGCCCTCTGGTAGCAGTTCCAATTCAGTGCCTTCTCCTTTGCCTTTGCTTCCCAAATCATCACAATTCTATGCTTCTTCATCCCACATTGACTCTCACATCATCCAGAGAATGGCAGGATTGTCATTTTAAAGAAATGGATGCATCAAGTTGAAAGCTTGATACAGAAGCTGGAGTTGGAACCCGGATCCTCTGCTTCCAGGAAGTGCTCTTCTTTCTTTCTTTGTTCAGAGACAGTGTATCGCTCTGTTGCCCAGGCTGGAGTGCAGTGGCATGCTCATGGCTCACTGCAGCCTCAACCTCCCAGGCTCAAGCGATCCTCCCACCTCAGCTTCCCGAGTAGTAGCTGGGGCTACAGGCACGTTCCACTATGCCTGACTAATTTTATTTATTTATTTATTTGTTTGTTTGTTTGTTTGTTTGTTTATTTCGTAAGTAGAGATGGGATCTCGCTGTGTTGCCCAGGCTCACATGTTCTGTTCATTGAAACTCATTGCCTCATGAGGATTCAGTTCCTTCAGTTTTTGTTATGGTTTTATTTGTTTAGTTTTTTAAAGTAAAACTTCACTTCATTATGATAGTTTTACAGCATTTAAATTTTTATGTTCAACATGTTTCTCAAAATCATTTCAATATTTTGATCCCCAGTTTTTGTCATGATCAGCTCACATCTGCTCCTTATCTAACCTTTTTAATTTTGTCCATGACCATCCTACATTGCAGGCTTCTCAACCAGATGAGTTGACCATTGAGGAACATGAGGTGTTAGAAGTGATTGAAGATGGAGATATGGAAGACTGGGTAAAGGTATATTCCTTTGCTCATATCGCCCCTTCTTGTGACATTTTCAGGAGTTTGTTTTGGTCTTTGTTGTGCCCTGCCTGAATTGTGTGTGTAAACTTGTTTTGTCACATGTCTTTTACCCAGGCTCGAAATAAAGTTGGCCAAGTGGGTTATGTGCCAGAAAAGTACCTACAGTTTCCCACCTCGAACAGCCTCCTGAGCATGCTGCAGTCTCTGGCCGCTTTGGACAGTCGGTCACACACGTCCAGCAATTCCACAGAAGCAGAACTCGTTTCAGGCAGCCTCAACGGAGATGCCAGTGGTAAAGACTGAAACAAGGCACTCTTTATTTGGTCACATTTGACCTAAATGCACAATTTTGCTCCTATCCTATAATATGCTTCCCTTTATTTGGTCACATTTGTCCTGTATAGTAGAACCCTAAAGTTGATCATCATTGAGTAAAAATATTACAACTTTAATCCTATTCTGTACGATGCTCTTTTAGTTGTCATGTGAGCATAGGGGTGGTTGCAGAAGCAACCAGCTGTCAATTATCTTACCAGATTTGTCTTTCTCTTGCTCCCTAGTCTGTTTTGTGAAAGCACTTTATGAATACGAGGGCCAGACAGATGATGAGTTATCTTTTCCTGAGGGAGCAATAATCCGTATCTTGAACAAAGAAAACCAAGATGACGATGGCTTCTGGGAAGGGGAATTCAGTGGGCGGATTGGAGTTTTTCCATCGGTGCTAGTGGAAGAACTTTCAGCCTCAGAAAATGGTGACACCCCATGGATGAGAGAGATTCAGGTACATGAGAGGAGAAACAGTTGAATTAAATGATGTTTAAAGAAAATTGCTCCCAAGCAGTCTATGGATCCACACAAAAGTGGGCTGCAGTCTCTGCTTTACCCTCACTGATCCTTGGTTGCCAGTGCCTGCAAAACTGCATTTGAGAAACCAGAGACTTGTCAGTCAGTCCCTTGTGGAATATGGCCATCCTCCCACACCTCCATCTTCCCACATTCTAGTCCCTGAGTCGGTTAACCAAAATGCCAAATTATATGTGACATATCAAAGATCATTTTGGTGGAGAGAAAGAAACAAACTGAAGAGGGAAGGCATTGCTCTGTGGTTAATTTATGTAGTAAAACTCTTAGCTGGCTCTCTCTCCCTCACTGTCAGAGCCTCCCTGCCTAGCCCAGGTCCTGCCAATCTATTTCAGAGAATTAATGAGCCTGCTAGAGTCCCCATTCCCCACTCAAGTGGCCCTAGACTTAGGTCATCACAGGGAAACAGCCTTTAAAGGAAACCCGTAATTCAGTCAGAGTTTAGTTTTTCCCCTCAGGCATCTCTCACTGCATGCCAGGTAGGTAGAGAAAGAAGGAACGGGTTTGCTGATCTTGTTTGCATGGTGATTGTGACCCCTTAGCCTAACATGCATAAAACCTGTTTTGTGCTAGGTATTTTATCTTCACCCAAAGAAATCCAACTTGTCCCTTTTGTTGTTGTTGTTCTTTGCTAAATTTACTGAATTGACTAATTTGGTGCATTTTCAATAGAACCCTAGAGAGTGACTTCACTTGGTAACTGTTTAAGATAAACTAAAATCAGTAATGTGATGAGATCTGTAAGGGGCAAAAGTGAAGTGCAATGCAGAATTGGGGCTTGGGGTGGTTAATAATGCTCATTTGCTTCTAATGAGGTTGACAAGTTTCAGTAGTCAGCTTTGCTTCAGAGAAAAGGGATATATACAGAGCAGTCAGAGAAGCAGCCAGGCTCTCCTTCCTGGGCTTGAGCACCCAGTAACCTCTCTTCCCTTTCTGCAGATCTCTCCTTCCCCCAAGCCACACGCCTCCCTGCCTCCACTGCCATTGTACGACCAGCCTCCCAGCAGCCCCTACCCCAGCCCAGATAAGAGGAGCTCCCTGTATTTTCCCCGGTCTCCTTCAGCAAACGGTAAGGGTTTCCTGGGCAGGGGTCTAAATGCATTTTCACTTCAGAAATCTATATATTTGCCTGAAGGACAAACAAAACTGCATTCATTTTTTTTCTTTTTTCTTTTGGAGACAGGGTCTCACTCTGTCACCCAAGCTGGCGTTCAGTGGCATGATCACAGCTCACAGCAACCTAATAATTCCTGGGCTCAAGTGATCCTCCCGCCTCAGCCTCCCAAGTAGCTAGGAATACAGGCATGCACCACCAGACACAGCTAATTTTTGTATTTTTTGTGGAGACAGGGTATTATTCTGCCACCTAGTCTGGAGTGCAGTGGTGGGGTCATAGCTCACTGCAGCCTTAAACTCCGGGCCTCAAGTGATCCTCCCACCTCAGTATCCCAAAGTGCTGGGATTACAGGCTTGAGCTACCCTGCAGGCCTTGCATTAGCATTTTTATTGCTCAACAGCTTAAGTAAAATGAGCTTTGGTTTTCTCCCTTAGAAAACAGCCTTCATGCTGAGTCACCAGGATTCTCACAGGCATCAAGGCACACTCCTGAGACCTCATATGGCAAACTACGACCTGTAAGTCTCCTATCTCACAGGATTATAGATTGCATAGTTCTTCCAAATTGAAAGTAAGGAATTAATGTTTCCTCTTTGCCTAAATGTGTTTACTGACTGCCAAACAAGGATGAACTGGGTTTGGGAAGGTAAAAAGAGCTATTGAAAAGGAAGGCCATAGAAATCCACTCATCTTGGAACATTTAATCTACACTGGAACTTTTTTCATTGAGTCATAGTGAGATTGCAAGATGATGACTATGAAAGTGTATTTAGATTAGAACAAGCTTTATGATCATTAAAGCGGGCTAATTGTGAAACACTTTTTTTAGTAAGTATTTAATTTTCCAGGCCTCTGTTTGCCTCTTTGACGAATATTGAGATGAAATAATAAGCTAACTTCATGGCCTCAAAGAATGTCTATTCTCAGGGTGAATATATTCTTGCAGCGTCACCTCTACTCACCCTTCACTCTACTGCCATCTGCATTCCACCCATCACTGCACTCCAAGGTCATAACTTTCACATTGGTAATCCATTTGGATACTTTGCAATTTTATTTTCCTTGACCTATTAGCTTTTTATAACATTCCTTTACCACTGGCTTCCTTTGGCTTCATTCATTCAGCAGTTGTGTATTGAGTGCCTTGTTAAGGACTTGAGTCTTTATCCCAAATGAGATAGGAAGCCGTTGTAAGGTGGTAAGCTGGACAGTGTTGTGGCTGATGCATTTTTAAAGCATCACTATGGCAGCTAAGTGGAGGATGGATGGAGGTGGCAGAAAGGACATAGAGAGCAATTAGGAGGCTGGAGCGGCATCCCAGAAAGAGGTGGGTAAGCGTAGACTGGTGGGTAAGAGTGGGAACAGAGAGCAGTGGGCTGATGTGCATCTCCACCACACTTGCCTCATTTGCTTTCTTCCTCTCTGGTCCTACCTTTCTGTGGTTCGCAGCCTGGCTTCCACCGATCTCTGCTGATTCTTCTCATGGTTCTGTCCCTGGGCCGCTTCTCTTGAAGTTATTCAAAGCACTCTTGCCAAGTGACCTCATCTACTTCCGCAGCTAAGATAACCATTTATATATCAGCAAATCTGATTTATAACTGCCAATCTGATCTCTTCTCTGAGCTTCAGATTTGTGGATGTCTTAGTTTATATGTCCCAGAAACCCAAAACTCAGCAAGAGTGAGTTATGTTCCTTCCCAGACATGTTTCTATTCCCATATTGCCAATCTTGGTGGAACTCCCCATCCTGCTGGTGTTCTGGCATCATTCTTAATACCTCCTGGCCCTGCCTCCCACAGTCACCCCCAAATCCTACCAGGTATACCTTACAGACAGCTCACAAGTCTTTCCACTTTTCTACTTCCCCTACTGCCAGTACCCTAGTTTGGGCTATTGTCAACTCTCATTCAGAGGACTACAAAAGTCTCTTAAGTTGCCTTCTTACTTGAACTCTTGCTTGCCTCTGATCTTTTCTCCAGTTGTTACCTGAGTCATCTTTTCACAGATCTGATATTGCTTAAAATACACCAAAACTCTTCTTTTGCATACAGAATAAAGCACAGATTTTTTTTTTTTTTAGTTATTTTTTCTTCTTAAAGCACACATTTTTAAACATGGTTTAATAAGGCCCTTCACAACTTAACCCCAGCCTACTTTCTAGCCTTATCTTTTGTAACTCTTCTCCCAAGACATGCTAAAATGTTTCATTTATCTAAGTGTTGCTCTCCCTTCCTTCCAACCAGACCTTTGGTTTGGAGGATGTGCTAGAATCTTAGTCATGGGACTCTTGTGCCCATGAGGTTTTTAGCCTAGGCAAGCAGCTGATTTGTGGGCTTGACATTTCATTAAGAACAGCTGCTTCTCAGTGTAGGAAGTAGTGAAGAGTAAAGCACGTGCTTACAGCATTTTTGAGATCCCTAGGCTGCCCATGTCCTTAGACAGGTAAGTGATTAGGTTTTGGGAATGCTTCAGATACTGAGTCAGGAAGTGACTGACAGTCTACATAATTGTTTCCTGCTCAGGTCCGGGCAGCTCCCCCTCCACCTACGCAGAATCACCGAAGGCCAGCAGAGAAGATTGAAGATGTGGAAATCACACTAGTGTGATGATGGGCTTCCCATCCATTACTGCTACAATCAAGGCCAGGCTTGGAGGTTGGCCAGTCTTGTTTTTTAGGCACCTTTGCATGATGATGACTCTTGAACAGAGCAAAAACAAGGAGGATTATGTGTGACTGGGTGGCCTGGTAGACTCCTCCTATGTTTTGAATATTTCGTGCCTTTTTTTTTGTTGTCATTTTCTATGTCATCTCTCCTACCATAGCACAAATCCTAGCGGACCCCAGGAGAAGAGAGGGGAGCATCCCTCGTGCCTAACAGTGGTTCGTTTTTATATGAAACTCAAGACCAGGCCTCATTCCAGGGCACAGTCCCAAAATTACTGATCATGTGCACTCGTACAGTATATTACTGTGGCCACAAGAATGTTGCAAAGATTTTCATCTTTCTTCAAGTGGCTTTTGCTCATCTGATTGAGAATTAATCAGATCATGTTGGCTACATAAGGAAACAGAAGGAGGGATTTCAGGAGAGGCTGGCTCCTCCCCAAGGTTAGTCCCCAGACTGAGAAAGTGAAACCTTATTGGGAAAATTGGACTGCCCTGAATTTAGCGCCAATTGCATTAACGCACATCTCTTCTACAAGTAACAGACTTAAAATAATAGTGTCCTTCATATTAATATCTATGCCATTCATTTAGAATTAGCAGAGCTAATATGAAGGGGTGGAACTAGTAGCCACATCTTGTCCATCACATAGACTAATAGAAAGGAGGCTACAGCTAAAGCAGAAATGGAGTTTCCAGATCTGAAATTAGCCAATATAATGTTCTTTTGTATTTGGGTATTTTTCATCTTAATTTTTACAGCATATAGTCTTCTTACCAGCATCCTTAGAATTTGAATATCTAGATAAGTTGAGGATACATACCTGCATTGTTGAGCTTCTCTACTGGGGAGGCCCCTGGCATTATTTTATTCCCAAGCCAGCAGACCAGCCCAGACAGACAGGCTGTGGCTGGTCCAGACCAACTGCTATGTGGAAAATGGAGCATCCAGGTCCCACTACCCTCACATTTCCTTGGAAGGAAGAACCTGGGGGACTGTGGAGGAAACCAGCTTCCTGTGAGAAAGGACTGAAGGATTGACCAGGAAAAGACAAGTGTCTTCTGTGTGTCACAGGGAAAGCCAGGAGTGGCCTTCTCTGCAGGCCAGCAAGCCTGCAGCAGCAGATGCCCAAGTTGGGTGCTGGCTCTCCGCTGTCTGCCCCTGTGAAAGGTAGGGAGCGTGATACCTGGGGACTAAGGGATGTTTGCCAGTTGCGGTTTTTTTTTTTCCCCCTTGATTAAGGAATCAAATTTGCAGAATTGAATCTAAAAGTT